CCCTGGCTTTTGCAGCTGCACTAGGAAAGGCTTGGGGTGCCTGGGCATGTGAGTCCCCAGCAAAGTAGCTGGGGTTTACACACCTGGCACTGAGCTGATTTTGCTCCTGGGATCTAGACAAGCACATGAGCAAATGCACTTCTCTCACCCGGCGGGAAGCTGGCTAAATGCCTTATTATTGTAATTGCCAAATCCATCAGTCACCGCGGGCTGCCTCCAAGACTTGGTCCTGCTTCATCCTCTGCTCCGGAGGGGCAGCCGGTCTGCTCTGACAATGCTCGCAGGGAAGTGTTTGGGATTTGTTTATTCTGGACTGTATCTCTGGGCATCCTTGTTCCTGTCTTTCTTTAAAGGTAAGTTCAGCTGTGGTTGTCTTTTTTTTTTTTCCTTTTTTTTCTTTTTCACAAAACCCCGGCCAAACTTCCACCCCCTGCTGTGTTTTTAGAGAGATTTACCTCTGTGTGTCCTTTAAACTCTGTCAGAGTCCCGTCCTGGTCCCACTCAAGTTAAGGGGAGTTTAGTACACAGTTTGACTAAGTCTTTGGATTTTATGCTACTGAGAACCTTCTCCTCTTAAGAAGGGAAAAGGTGTATTTTTTTAATGAAAAGAGCTATTTTCACTTTCAGAAATGTATTGAAATGGTAGAAATGTATTGAATGATTTTCAAGAGGAAAATGTTCTTGCTCTGCTTTAGAGATTTACCTTACCAGTGCTTTTTTAGGTATGAGAAATTATAACTACTGGCTGGACAGGCTGGCTATTAGAGCCTTGTAGATGTGGGGCTGAAATGGTGTTTTTCTACTAAGAAAATATGACCAGAAGAAAAATCTTAACTCTTTACTTTCTCAGCATCATTCTGTAAGACTTGTACCTGCAGAATAATGTAAATTATTGTAGTCTTGTAGTCTAAGGTGTCACTGTGACCAGGTGTATATCCTGAAGTTGCAGTGTGTTACAAACAAAGGCAGGAACTGTATGATCCTTCCAAAACATGGAAGATTGCAAAGCTAATAAAGAATTTTTAAATGAGAAGAGAAGTTGATATTGCAACAATCCTGAATGATATTCAGGATCCTGCACAAAGTGTGCTTTTATTGCTCCCTATAAAGGTCAGATTTTTATATGAAACATGCTTGTGCTCCGTAACTCTGAGTTCTAAAATTGAGTATTCCAGATGTGTAGGACTATGTCCTGTTACTCACAATTTCTGCATAGAGAAATGAGGGTTGTCTCTTTAAAGCAGAGAGTGTAACGTGGTCCACATATTCCAGAAGCCCAGGGGCACAGGAAGCTAATGTCTATGTGATGTTGCGCTGGACCATACGTGTCCCTTGCACCCATATACCTTGCACCTCGTCAGTTCATCTGAATCTGCAAAACATCCTCACCTTTCACTACTGCACCTTCACTTTTCAGCTGCCTAGAGCGGCACCGGTATTGCAGAGAAGGGTTCCCCCACTTCCCATAATCAAGAGCTTTGCTATCTTTGTAAGACATCTCTGTGCTCCTCCAGGAGCTGAACTGACAGCCAGGTGATAGCAGCTAGTTATGACATAACTCAGTTTGTGTGCAGTCCCACTCGGAGTGATTAAAATACTGCCTTTCAAATACGGTGTAATCACTAATTCATCAAGGGGCATGCTCAGTTTTTCTGAACAGCTTGTGAAGACACAAAGTGCTTTTATAAATAATTCAGACAGTTTGTTATTAGGTGCTTTTACCAGCTGTTTATAAGCATGCACTTTTACAGGCAGCTGCCAGCACACCAAAATGGATCTCTGATCAGGATGGTCTGTATTTGCCCCCTTTTCCAGGCATAGAGGATTTTTTCTTTTTAAAAAAAGAAAAAAAAGAAAAGCCCCAAGGACTGGACAAGGGGTGAGGAGAGACAAAAACAAAGACGATATTAGCAAATTATCAGTAGCAGAGCCTTTCTGACAGCCCGCTGTGAATAAACTCCCCCAGGATCACCTGCTGCACCCATGAGTGGAAGTCACAGCGAGTCCATCGTAACCAACATCACCCTCACACGGTGCTGCCTCGCTCCAGCAGAACTCATAACAATTTCTTACCTACTGAGATCTCCTCCAAGGCCATTTGACAGGGAGGCTGCTGCAGGGGAGCAGGGTGGGAAATAAGCAAGAAGAGAGAGAAAAGAAATAATGTCCCTGCATCACTTTTTTCAGTCCTTTTACAATTTTTTACTTTGACAGCCTCATGCCAGCTCCACTTGCACCACGGTGGGGAGCCCTGGCAGACATCCCCTTCTTGCCAGGGCACTGCAGCCCTCCTTCCCAAACACGTCCTAATGCCAGCTCCAGCCAAGCACCGTCCTGGGCTGCCAGTCGTGGCAAACAACCGCTCCTCATAGCTACCTGGCACCAAGACTACTCACCAGCTTAACCTACAGGACCAAAGTTGAGGTGAAACATAGGCGGGCCTGAAGCACAGCAGTGTCAGGAAGGCAAATTTGACGACACCTAGTACTTCCCAGGCTCCTTGGAGAAGCTGTAAGTGAGAAGGAAGAGGAGCTAATAGGCCACTGCAGAAATTATTCCTCTATATTTAAGGGGGGGGGCGGGGAAGTCAAACCTTCACTTTGCCACAGGGAAAGAAGAATTAAACTGAGCTACAAATCAAGTGTATTTAGGCCCAGCTATTTCCCCAATGAGCCAATACTCTCTACACTGAACAGCAAATCTGAGAATTACATTTGCAGCACCCCTGAAAGGCGAGAACAACCGTCCCTCTGCCCCCACATCCGCTCGTTCAGGCAGGTTCCTGCGCCAGCACAAGAGGCAGTACCAGTGTGGTGTTTTGCCTTGGGAAACGACTTCAGATATCTTCAGACCTCTTGGTTTCTTTGCTCTGTGCAGCCTAACATCTGAGCCACGCAAAGACAAGGGAAGGGCAGAGCTCCCCTGCTGCGGCTCCTCTGGGAAGGGAAGAGCTAAGCAGTACGGGGCAGATCCCGCAGCCAAGGAGGCTGCAAGCGAGCTAGCCAGCTAACAGCTGTAAGCGATGAAGTAGCTCAGCCTGGCGTGGTTTCCTTCAGCCTGTGCAAAACAGCTTGTCTTTGGCTCATTCACAGCGCAGGGTTGAACTCCTATGCCATGCTCATTTCCTGGTTTCTACAGCTCTGCGGACTTTACCCAGCCCTGTTGATCACCTTAGACCACAACTGGTCACCTCTAAGAGCAAATCTTCACTGGGATGTTGTCCTTGGTTCACTTCCATGCAAGCAGGTGCTTGCAATACCATTGGCAAGACAGTCTTGAAAAGCCCAATTCTGCTGCCAGGCTGCAATTTGTTTAGTGTGAGCTAGTTAGACTGAGGTAACAGGGGTTTAGGGATCTCTGTAGAGGGAAGAATCAAAGCTGGTATTTAAATACATGGAGCCTAAACTTTGAGACTTAACTGGGTAGGACTGATGTAATTGCACTGAACTGTGTAGAGCAAACCGGTTTAGTCCAAAGAAACCCAGTCTGACAGATGCTAGAAGTCCTGTGCCTTAGCAGAGTACCATGTAAAATCGTGTGAATTCAGTTGGTCAGTGGAAGAGCTCTACCTTTGGACCTCACGCATGTTACCAGACGAGAAGCAGGTATAAAAGTGAGATCATTTAGAGTTTTTCGCACCCTTAATTTGAAGACTGAAGGGCATACTAATGCCAGTTCCCCAGATCCTCTGAGTTACTGAGGTGATAACAGAGTTTACAGGATTACAAAGTATCTGCAAAAAGTCTAAAATAGAAAGATAAAAGAAAGGTCTTTGCTTGAACAAGTAGATAACTTCTTCTATATTGTTTAAAAAGATGCCACACATGCACCTTGCAGAGAGGAGAAATTACTGTTAACTCCCATTATAGCCATCACTATAACCCCTGAGAGCACGCGCACCAGAGTCTGGTCACTCCAGCGAGCAATGCTGGGTGCCTGCTCAGGGGTCACAGAGCCGCAGGATCCCATGGACAGGGCTGAATGTGACTGGTCACAGCACAAGTCCACATATAGGACTGGTGCTCTGGTGATCAAGAGCACCAGACCAGAGGCATGGGTCAACACCTTTAAGATGGGCAGGCAGAGTCTTAGGCAAGTCTCTTGAGATGATTTCCTGCGAGTTACTGTCTGCCGCAGTAAGTTGCTGTGCATGTGTGCCTCTTGAGATTGACTTTTCAGTTCAGTGAAGCAGACTTTATGTTCTTCATGTCAACTCACTAATCTTACATCTGCATTTACTGCTTTGCATTACTGTAGGCACAGGTGAAACTCTAGGACTGGCCTGAGTCGTGTTTGTGAGAAGTCGCCAGGCTCCAAGAAAGTTAGAGCTATTTGCATGCGCAGTAGCTGACTGTGATCCGGGCTTCATCTTTCTGTGTTAGCTGTTTCCAAATTTCACTAGAAAGACTGAGAGGATCCAGGAAAAGCACCTGGGCCCTGACTATATATTCACTTACTGGAATAGTGCTCTGAGTTTAAGAGTCCACAAAGGTAACATTACACAGGAAAGTAATATTCAGGTGATATTTGGGACAATGCCAGGTAGTGCCTGAGGAGCCTTCAGCCCAGCCTCAGCATGGGGCCCATCTGACAGTCTGAGAGCAGAAGTTCCCATTTCAGGTACAAGATTCAGTGTTTTAAGGACAGCTGCAGACCTTTTTTTCTCCCTCTGGTCTGTTTGCCTAAGAGATGAGGGAAGAGGATGAGTTAGTGATGGCAGTAGCATATTGCATGATTTTGTCAGCAGCTGCAAACTTTTCCAAGCAATGAAAGAGGCATTTAATGTCCCCACGGTGCAGAGGGAACAACGAACAGCTTGTTCGCTTCTTGTGCCTGCGTGGTGAAGTGACTTTTCCCAGAACCTGAGAGTGTGGCTACTTCAATCACACAGCAGGGGATATTTCCATCTAAATATGATGGCTGTGGTTGCAAGGGGACTTAAGTACCCCAAACCCTTTCAGTTTCACTGCACATCCTGAACCAAGGACTAGCACAAATTTTTCATTTGTTTGTCTGAACAGAACATGTCCCTCTTGTCCCTCCAGAAGCATGGAGGGAGAGATAATGTCTCCCCAACACTAGGATGCATTTAAAGTAGATCTGAAACGTTCGCGCAACTCCTAGCATGGTTATCAGAGGATGGTCACTACACAGAGACACTGTATAATCCAGTTGAGGAAGAGAGAAAAGAGTAATGGACATGGGAATAAAATAGGTAGACTGGAGGCTGTTGCTGGTTTGGAGCAAATCTGGCTTGCAGAAAAAGTGATGCTTATTAAGTACTTTCTGCATTGAGGAAAGCAGTAGATGACAAGGCAGAGACCAGAATCAGATGGTGTGTTTGGAAATAACA